AAAAATCATTAGGATATTAAGTAAAGATCATTAATCTTATATTAACCTACTAGGAGATATTAATCTACTAAAACTAGGATATTAATCTTTACTTAATATCCTAATGATTTTTTTAAATGAGCAACATTGCTCATTTTAATTTCGATGAACTTGATGAACTAAAACTAAAAATATATATTTAAACATATTAGGCATATAAGAAAAACTACTAAAAATGACAAAAGCACACAACAAAATTACTAAACTTTAACTAAAATTCAAATGAAAACTGACAACACAATAAGAACTAATTTAAAATATTAATAAAAACTCTAATGGTATCTCAATGATACTAAAATAACACACTGCCACATTCTCACTGTTTTGACCCCTTCAATATGACTATGAGATAATAACAATAATAATAATTGTAAAATACTGTAACTGCAAAATAAAAAATAGAGTATAGAAATTATAGTACAACAGTAAAATACCAATATTTATCTGTCAATTTTCTAAATTTTGAATCTTTTATTTTAATTTTCAGTGTCGCACTGTAAAGAACTGCAACTTGATATCAATGGTTCAAAATACCACTCTTCATAACTTTAAATATCACATAACTTCTGGTAAATAATAGCATAAATGAGTAAATAATTGGATGAATAATTAAATGAATGAATGAATGAACAATATGGTGCCAATATAATTAATCAGCAGAATAAATAAGCAGATGTTACATTTACAACATAGGCACACAGAAAATAATATTTATTTCTAAACATATATTTTACACAATCTAATAAAGCAATAAGCCCCAAGAAGCCATGGTTTACAGTGAATTTATAACAGCTAAGGGGCTTTGTTACGAGTGCCTAAAACCCCCTTAGCTGTTATAAATTCACTGTAACCCACGGCTTCACGGGGCTTATTGCTTTTATAAAACGGTTATTCCACATACGTAGTAAGGTTTCACAAAATAAAACAGAGCAAATAAAGTGTAATGATATTAATAAAAACATTAAAACAATGTAGTTCCTCAGAAAGTTGTGGTTGCAATAAAGTGGTTGCCAAGCAACACACAGATGCAAACAAAGGTGTATGTTTGTAGAGTAATTTACAACAGCTTCAAACGCGGCTCAACCAATCAGAATCAAGGACCGGAAATATATAAAATATTTTTTTTGCCTGGTAAAAACACTGGAAGCGAGTGGCAAAACTAGATCATCACTGCCATCATTATGATCAATGAAGCTGTCCACACTGTTACACTTGTAGTGTAGACAACATCATAGATTCAAATGGCACTGATCTAGTTTTTTTTTTCACATTGCAATGCATGACTTGCTTTCACTGCAACACTTCTGCATGATTTTGAGTACCACTAATGTAAAATAAAGTGAAATAAGGTGAATAGGCAAACCATGTTGAAGGAATCCTGAGTCGGTGCGCACACCTAATATGACGGCTGAAGTTACAGCACTGCTCATGTCAAAGCTTTGATGTCTGACTCAATACTTGTCAGTTTGAGACCGTTAGAGGCTCAACAGCAATAGCCTACGGTTGCCATAGCAACCATTTTTTCTCATTCTAAAAACATGATTTTTTTTCTTCTTTTCAGAACATATTTTATATTTCTTTTTTCCCCATATATATATATATATATTTTTTTTTTTTTTCTGATTTATCCTACCAGACAGATGTTTGGAAGAAAAAAGTCTAAAGTCTTATTTAAAGTTAGTTGTTTTTAAAAGTATTTTGAGCTTAAAAAGAATGCTATTATTTGTTAAAAAAAAAATACAGTAAAAAAAGCAATATTGTGAAATATTATGACAATTTAAAATACCTATATTCTATTGTAATACATTTTAAAATATAATTTATTTCTGTGATCAAAGCTGAATATTCAGCACCATTACTCCAGTCTTCAGTGTCACACGATCCTTCAGAAATCATTCTAATATGCTGATTTGCTGCTCATAAAACATTTCTGATTATTATCAATGTTGAAAACTGTTTTTTCTATTTAATATTTTTGTGGCAAACGTGATACACCACCAATCAAAAGATTGGCTAAGTAAGAATAAAATAAATAAATAAATAAATAAACAAATAATATTTACTCAGCAATGGCATGCTACATTAATCAAAAGTAATAGTAAAACATTTCTAATGTTACAAAAATTTTCTGATTAAAATAAATGCTGTTCTTTTGAACTGTCTATTTATCAGAGTCCTAAACGCTGTAATGGTTTCCACAAAAACATTATATAGTTTTCAACATTGATAATATGAACCATTATTAGTAACCGAGCACTAAATCAGCATATTAGAATGATTTCAGAAGGATCATGTGACATATCAAGAGGTATTTCTATAGCTGCCACTGGGGCGGTAAGGCACACCTTTGTACCTAAAGAGTTCATATTAGTACCTAAAAGGTACAAAAGTGTACTTTTTGAAAAGGTACCGCCCCAGTGACAGCTTTTGTACCTTTTTTTCTGAGAGTGTATTGTACATTAAATTTTATATATATATCAAACATTTTATATATACATGTACAATGTATAATTAAATTTTATAATACAAATTAGGTGTCATTCCATGATTATATCTGTTGTTTTAATAATGAATAGCAAATTAAGATGTTAAAATCCAGAGACAGAGCGTGAGGTTGAGGTTGAATGTGTAGCAGGGTGTGTATAGGAAGGGTCGATGTGGCTGCAGATGTCTCAAGTCGCACAATCATCCAGCACTGAAGACGAGTGTTTGCGACAGCAGCACGAATCAATGCTGATGAATTGTCACTACAGTACAGATCAATCCTGAAAACTGCGTCAAACACGGTAAGAATTAACAACTGCTGCAGTCGAGAAACATGACGTGAACCGAGTGCCACGGCCCAAACCCCCAACTAAACGCTCACAGCTATTGCTGCCAGAGGCTTCAGAACGTAATACAGCAAAAGAGTAAGCTGGTTGTCATAAAAATAGTGTAAATAATCAATTTATTTTAATAAGGAGTCATATTTTATAAAAAAATAAAAAAAAAGGAAAAAAAAGGCTATTTGGATGGCAGGCTTGTTAGCGATGCAAAGCTGAACACTGTCACAATGTTCAACGTCTTGATATGCGTGATATGCGAGTCAAGGATTAGACTAAAACCATCAACATTAAAAGGTTTTCAGATGAGTCCGTCGAGCCCAGCAGAACTTCTGAGCTCTGCGCCGTCAAACTGATGGGATTGTTTTAAGATCTAAAGCTGCTCTGAATTATGTGCTGGCTTTTGAGGAATTAATGTAAACGATCTTCTGAAAGCGGGAATATTAGGACTGACTTTGTTGTTGTGACTCATGTTCTGAAATAAAGTGAAGTCAGACGTCGCTCAGCAGGCTGCTGGCATCATATCTAATAACTATCTATTTAATTTTAATTTCTGGAGCTGAGGTTATAAACGTAGTTGTAGTTGACCAATTATTTTGCAATTAACTGCCTTCAACTCGATTACAGAGTAACAATTTAAGCCATTATGCTTTTTGCCAAAAAGATCCATTCAAAATAGGAATTCATATGAAAGCAGCACAAAATAATGCAAAGGTACCGAATAATTACCATACTCGTAAACATGGTATTTACATGATATAAGTCCAAAAAACAAGGTATTACCATAGTACCACATCTCAATAAATAAATAAATAAATGTTGGAAAAAAAACATGACTGTACAGTATAAGTTCAAAAAACATGGATTTACCATGGTACCATATAAAATATCATTGTATTATTATGGTACACAAAAAAAACTAAACATGGTATAGTCACTGTATGTGTTCAGAATGCATGGATTTACCATGGTACTAATACAAAAACAAAAAATATAGTAATAATAAAATAAAAAAAACACTATTATTATCGTTCATCCAAAAAAAAACATGGTATAATCACTGTATATGTTCAAAAAGAATATTTAACATGGCACTATATCTTAAAACATTGTATTATCATGGCCAATCCAGAATACATGGTATAATCACTGTACTTGTTCAAAATACAGCGATTTACCATGGCACTATATCTAAAAACAGTGTATTATCAAGGTAAATCAAAAAATAAATAAATAAATAAAATAAAAGTATAATCACTGTACATGTTCAAAA